TTTTGGTTGATTTTCCTTTTATGATTATTCCTGAGATTGTAGTTTCTTTGGGATTATTTTTATCATTATTATTTTATCAATAGGCACAGAGGAAGGCAAAAGTGCAGAGAAGAGAGTGCGAGTCAACTGTGGAATCTGCAAGGAAACGCGATATTACTCGGTATACAGAGGAGTGACACGTATTGCAGGAACCATTCTGGCATGTGAGGCCTGTCGTCACTCCTATCAAAAGTTCAAGAGAAGACCTTGCATCCTCAAGTGCAACAAGGAGGGCAAGTACGTGCTGTTTCTCTTTTCTTTCCAATGATAGATCTAAGCTGGTGCTGTGGGTCATTTTGGATATCGAGTTTTCTTTTTCTTTACTGGTGCTCCTTTTGTGTGTCTGAATGACAGCAAGTATTGTGCAGTTGGTGTAGATTTTGTGTGTGTGATTTTATTTATTTTATTATTATTATTTTTTTTATACTGATTTTCTAGCATTTCTGATCATCAAGAAACTCAGTAGCTGATTGAACAAATTTTCCAATGAGTGTCCTGCTTTCGTTATTATATTTTCAAGCATTAAGTCAATGTTTGTTAATTATATCAACACAAAATACCTTTTAATCTGATTTATGATGGAACTAATAAAGTTTTTGTGTGTATCTGGCATCTGCTAAGCTTAACTAGTTTTGTTCATAGGTTCAGACGTCACACATGATAGAGGAATAAAAATTGATGCTCAAGTGAAAACCAATGGACTAATACCCTTATTGATTTTCAGATGCTACGTCTTAGGTGACAATTCCAAGAGCAGGTGCAAAGCTTGTTGGATAGCACATATACTCAGACTGTGTCCTCTTCCCGCTGATCTGTACATCCATCTTTTAAAACATCTTCCCGATGTTATTAAGGTACTTGGGTTGACTCTTCGTTCATGATCTTGTAAGATAGGTTGTTTTGTTTGCTTTAAGTTCTTGATGTTTAGGTACACTCATGTGTAGATATACATTGTTTTGTGGAATATAAAGTGATTGATGTATAAGTATCTGATTAATATGCATGTAATTTTTTGAGTCATTTCCTAAATAATGTTCTTATTTACCATTTCATCACTTGAAACTCTCTTTACAGTAAAGTTCTATTCCTGAATTTGTATCATTAAATGAAATAATGTAAAATAAGACATTTAGTCTCATAAGAAATATGTAACAAAAAAATAAAAGGGTTGTGCTTCTCAACCTCCTGGCCAGACTTCATGACTTGAAATTTAAAATGTTATACGAAGCTCACCTTAGAGTTGGGAAAAAGCTTGGTGAGTGACAGAGGAGGGGAGCATGGATGGCTCCTCACAGAGACTGGGGATGGGATCCCTCATCTCTCCTCTTTTGGTGTAAAAAAGAAAAAAAGAAATCCAACATAGCTTGTTTGTTGCTTCTCTTCTCCTTGTTTAGACCTTCATAACACCAAAAACAATCTCTAACATCTCGTACTACTTTCAAGCTGCTTTCCCTGTTCGGGTCTGCTTCATCAATATAGTCAGTTCTATATGTTGTTTTCTTCATTTCCTTCTTCATAAATCATACTTTCTTTGTTCTGTATCATAGTAAGTCCCATAAAAATTAGGCAATTCTGATCTTCAATCCATATAGTTTCAATCACAGTGCTACAAGAATAACTTACTAGGAGCATATTTGTTAGGGAACCCAGGCTAAATATCTGCTTCATCTTGTTTGCCTAGATTGTTTGCACAGTTGAGTGCAGCAGGTTGAGTGCTTTTGTATCATCATTCTCCGAGTGCTGTATAGCCCAACATCATTTCATAGTATATGAGATATTCTTATGCTTTCTTTTCTTCTTGCTGTCGACATCTTGTAAGAGGAGCACAGCTGTTAACTCAGAGCTGACGGGGAAAAAGTTTGGCACGTATGGATGGGGTTGTTGTCGCACATCGCCAGTTTCCCCTGTTTGCACCTGGCTAGATCGGTAGTTTGCGAGCGACATTTAGCACCTGAAAGCTTTTATTTTGCTGTGATTTATGAAAATATTACATTTTTGAAGGTTTACCTTCATTATAGGTGCCATGTCCTAAAATCTTTACTATATAAATGAAGATGCTACTATCGGAGAAAAACAAACTCCGTCCAACGAGCCAGTGGCGCGGGAATGGGCATGACACAATGCCACCTGTCTTTTGGTCCACAACAGCCATGGCATGTACGTACATGCCACCCGGCGGCAATGGGTTAAAGAGTGGGTGAGCAATGACCCCATGAAACACTGTGTAGGAGGCGGTAGAGGGAAGGTGAGGCATGAGATGCATTTGAAACTGCTCACTCATGTATCAGACCTATCTTGAAAATGCTGTTGATTTTAATCAGTCAAATGGTACTGTTATTTTGATTTGCACATAATGTAAGAAAAAAGCAAACCATAAACAATGCGAAAGTTCAAAAACCACAAACATGAGCACTATAAAATATGGATTACCTGTTCTTTAGTCCTGAAATTAACCCAATCA